AATAAATAAATAAAATCTTTAAAAAAAATAAAATAAAAAAAATAAAAGATGCATAATTTCCATGACCAGCATCCATAGCTTTTTCTATTATGTCTAGAACCTATACGATATATAACATCTAGTTTTTGTAGTGACTTATGCCATTGGTTGAGTTGAAAATTTGATAGTCAGCAACAAATGAATGGAAATAGACCCATATGCATCAAAGATAAACAATCTCGCAATCTTCTTGTTTCTTTGCAGAGGATAAAGAGGGGATTGTTTTTTTCAGAGATAATTTTCTATGGAAGTGGAGTACTTAATATCATTTCATGGAAAAACATCATCAACATATGAATATGTTAAAGGTAAAAAAGATTATGGTTAACAGACTTTAAATAGAAGACTAAAATGATAGATTTCATGAGTAGGATTATTTTTTTTTAAACAGGCTGTAGACAATCTGCACATATATTATTTATTTAAAACATAAGATTAAAGCTACTTGATTGTTTAAACACCATCATTTGTAATGCAGTTTGATGAGAGTTTTGTCATATAATTATTACAGCATGAGAATCACAGAGAAAATATGACCTTGAAAAGGGGCCCAGCCTTCTCCCTCTGTCAAGGAGGATGGGATGCACTCGAAAACCAACCATCTTTATGCACACAATTAAAGGTCTTCCAATTTTAAAATCATTACTCCTTCTTTTCTCCAGATACTACATTATAAGAAATTTAGAAGGCTCCTTTCTCAAAATATACCGTTTTAATTTCTCTGTTTAAACCCAATTACCAGTGTGTGCCAGTAAATCAAACTAAAGCTTGGGTAAGCCAGGGAGAAGTGTCAGTTGCCCCAGCTGACACAGCATGCACAGGCTTATTTGTGGCATCCAAGTTCCTTCTACACAGTCCTGGAGCTGATTATGGGATGAACTGACCACAGACTGACACACAGGGCCCAGTCACTAGATGAAGATTTCAAGGAACGCAGGTTGCCAAAGGACAAAAAACTTAGTTGCCCATGAATCATACTATTCCAAAAAGTCCTCTATGTGGAAAAAGCCAGCTCCAGTCATCACTCAATTTAACTTAGGAAAGAGGGACAGTGCTTGCTTCCTTTTCATTCTTCATGTTAGCAAAAGGAATACTATAACCCCCTCCCCAACCCCACTTAATGAGAACACTGCAAAACCACACGCCGAACTTGTTTCTGTGGCCTTGTACATGCTGGCTAAAATGACTCCTTTAATTTTTCATTTATAATTGATATTTGGGATTGATGCAATTATAGACAAATCAATATCATGCATATTTAAAAACAACCTCAACAGTGAAATGTATTATCTAAAATGATTCTTTTAATATTTCAAGAAAAAGGTCTCTGAGAAAGCAAATCTTCGAATAAAATGTATTTCTCTTTAAATAAATGCCTTTCCATAAGTCCCTTGAAAGTAAAATAATGAGAACGTGAGGGTTATTAATACCCAAAACTTGTTAAGTATCTTCCAACGTAGGATGAGTGTTTGTCAAAGATGTCTTTCTTACGGAAGAACTCAACACCATTGGGCTACAACAGCATTATTCACTCACCAATCGTATGGAAATAGCTCAACCTAACTGTTCTTCAAACAAAAGTATAAATGCGGCAACACTTAAGGTTTTCTGCTATGTGGTCTATTTGGAGAAATACACAAAAACTGGAGATTTACACATTATGCCCCATTTACTTAAAATTTCAAAATACCTTTTAGGTCAAGTTCCACTCACAAGAATTTTAGCTACGTCATGTACCCAACGCTTCCCATTTAGCTCCTCACGCAGCTCAGCCCTGGGGTACCACCCGAAGTATGGGGTAAGGGCGGGCAAGACAGGTTCCAGGTCTCCAAGCTGGTTTATCCCATTGTCTCCCTTTGTTTTTAGTAATTGGAAACAGACTCGGTCATGTTGCTGAGAGGCCCCTAAAACTCTCAGCGACTCCCTACCCCAGACCCCTTCGACAGCGAAGTCGAAGACAAGGACGGACCAGAGATTTCGAGCCGCGGGCAAAAGCCTCGCATCTGCGACCTGGGACGTGCGTGCCTTACCCTGGGAGCACCTTAGGGTATCCTTCCCGCCAAACGAAGGCAGGCCGACCTTTTTGCAAAGTCGTTTAAAATGCTCCAATAAAAGCCAATCCCTACCACCTTGGGTGCAAAGGGGGGCGTGAGCATTAAAAGCCTAGTCTTAGACGGCCGGTGTACGTACGCCAACCAATGCGCTGCCGCATTTTCCACCAAGTGCACAGTCCAACCCTTCTCACGAAAAGGCAGCTCAAGGAAAAACAATCCTCAGAGAAATTTTTGAATGTGACCTCACTTTCAAAAGAGAAGCATCAAACAAGGGGCAAGCACCGAAAGACGCATTTGGCTCGAACTACCAACCCCCCGCCCCCCCCATAAGAAACTACGCGGTTAGTCTCCTCTGAGTTACTTTCACGGAGATCTGATGATGTCCATTAAAGGGAAAAGTGAACAAGTGGCAGGATTTTTGCAAACTCGAGCCCCCAGCTTCCGCGGCTGCACGCTCGCCGGTCCCTCCCGCTCGCGCGCTCCCGCGCGCACCCTCGCCGGCCCCACGTTACTTTGATTGACAGCCCGGCCCCGCCGCTCTCCTTCCCACCGACCTTCCCATCCACAGTGCCAATCTCCGCGTCTCGCCTCTTCCTATTGGCTGGTTTCGGCGTCCCGCGGCTCCTCCAGGAACAGTTCCTCACCGAGCCCGGGAGGACGCGGCTGGCGGAGGAGGGGTGGGGGGTGTGGGAGGGGAGACCAGGGAGACGGCGGAGATGGAAGCGAGCGGGGTGGGAGAGGAGGGGGAGGACGGCCCGTCCAGTGTTGCGCTGCCATTGGCTTCGGGGAGGCGTTGCGTAAGCACCCCACGTTGGGCATGGCGCACGCGATTGGCTGGCGCACGCTTCCCCGCTTCCCCTCTGCTACCGCCCGGACCCACGTCCCCCGCCGGCTCTGCGCTCCCGCCCCCCGCCCGCGCAGGGCTGGGCGGGGCCGGCGCTGGTTAGCTCCGGAGTGTGAAACCGCGTGTTAATGTAACCGGCGCGAGAGGCGCGGGCGGCGGCGGCGGGAGCGGCGGCTGCAGGAGCAGCAGCAGCGGCGAGTACCCTGTGCCCCGCGTCCCCGAAGCAGCCGACTGCGCCACCCCCACCCTCTCACGGCCGGGCGGGACCCGTGCCGCCAGCCCGGACCTCCGCCGGCCCGCGGCGACCTAAACCCCGCCGCGACTACTCCGGACCGGTCCGCGGAGTTTGCCCGCCGGGTAGGGAGGCCGAGCGGCGGAGCGCACTCCTGCTTTTTTTTCCCCCCACCATCTCGTGGATGTCGCCCCCCGGGTCGTGAGAGAACTTTGCAGCGGGCTGGAGCGCCCTTTGCAGAGAGGCAGACGAAGGGAAGGAAAGAAAGAGGGCCCAGGAAGGGGCTTGGAGGAAGAGTCCGGTGCGGCCGTGCGGGGCGAGTGCGCGCGGGGCGCGGCGCCCGGATGCACCCCGGGATCGAGGAGCGGCGGGCGGCTGCGGGACTGCCCTCCGCGGTGTAGCCCCGCCGGGCCAGGAGGGTTTGTGCAACCGCGGAGAACACCGAGTGTCGGTCGCACGGGGCGTGCCGAGCCGCCTCCCGGCGCGCCCTCCGCACTTTCCCCGCCTCGTCGTCATCCCGCGCTCCTCCGCCCGGGCTGAGGCAGCGGAGCGCCAGGCGCGGAACCTCCGCCGCCCGGACCTCGCTCCTCACCGCCTCCCGGGAACCCACGAACGCCCGGCTGAAGGCGCTGCCCTGACCCGCAGCGGTCGGTCCCGAACGTCGCCAGGTTTGTTTGTGTGGGGTTAGCCGGGGGCGCCGGGCCACCTGCACCTCGCCCGCGGCCGGCGCCGCGGGTAAAACCCGGAGAGGAGGCGGACCGGGAGAAGAACGAAGAAAAGCAGCCCGCCTGGATTTGTTTGCTCGGGACGGGGATCGCCGAGGGGAGCGCGGCCGGAGTCACCGCGCCCCCACCTCTCCGCCTGGGCAGCAGAGGCCCGTGGGTTGGATCACAGCCCCCGCGCGCTCTTCTTGGGCGCCGGCGTCACCGCGCAGGTTCTTGGTGCAGTCGGGCCCCGGGTGCCCCGCGATGTGGCCCTGAGCGAGGGAACCCGCACCGGCGGGAACAGGAGCAGCCGAGTGGCCGGTGCGCCCCGCCGAGCGCGCTTGCGTGCGTGGCCAGCGCGCTCCCCGCGCTCGGGGTTTCTGCCTGGCCTCTCGGCTTAATTTTTCTCGGCGGGATTAAAGTTGGAAATTGAGCGGAGAATTGAGTTGCCCGGAAACAGAGCTACGGCCGCCGCCAGAGCGATGTTCCCGCAGAGCCGACACCCGGTGAGGCGCGGCAGGGTGCTGGGTGGAGGGGCCGAGCAGTGGGTTGGGGGTGGGGTGGGGATAGGCGCTCTTCCGGTGCTGTAGGGAGACGGGTGTCTGCTACATTTTGGAGGACCCCCCCAGCCTCTAGGGGTGCAAGGCTGGGGAGGTCCGGGACCGTCCCCTCCTGTGGTGGGGAGTGAGCTGAAACTCTCAATTTTTCTCCTTTACCTTGGGCCCCCTCCGAGTTGACGTCTAGACAGGGTGGGCGGGGGCGCCCGGAGAGGCTGAGGTTTCTTTCCCGTAGCGACAGCTTCCCCCTAACCTCCCCCCCACCGAGACGGGTAGGGCGCCCCCCCCCTTTGTTTCTTGTCTCGCCCATTTACATGTCAATGCGGCCCCCGTTCCGGCGCGCCTGGAGGTGGCCCCGGCGACTCTGGGAACCGGGAACGTTAAGGAGTTGTTTTTCTCCTCTGATTCCCGGGGTCATTATCGCCCCTGTGGGGAGGGGGTGGTGGCTACGACGACAATTTGGCCTGGTCTTCCCCGGCCGCTGGGGAGCCCCTGTCCCTCCAGCCGGTGACCCGGGCGCATGTACTGCGACCCGCCCTGGAGCACGGAAGAGGCCTGGAATCTTTGGAGGCTCCGGATCCGGCGAGGGTCCGCTGTCTCCCCCGCATAAAGTGCAGCGCAAACTCGAGTTCAGGGTTCCGTTTTCCGCCACTTCTAACTTTCTTTTTTGCTTACGTCCCACCTACTTCTCCGTCCTCTGACTTAACTGTTTTATCTGTCTACCCGCATCCCTGTCCCTCGGTTCCCCTCGCCGGTCGCCCCCAGACGCCGCACCAGGCCGCAGGCCAGCCCTTCAAGTTCACTATCCCGGAGTCCCTGGACCGGATTAAAGAGGAATTCCAGTTCCTGCAGGCCCAGTATCACAGGTGCGTGTCCGGCCGCGCAGGGCGAGTGGTAGTCCAGGGGCAGCCCCGTCCCCTCCTCGCGCAGCCTGGGGGCTGTGGCGGCTGTACTTAGTACTTGCGTCCAGGCGGTGGCGTGTGGAGTCGCAGTTAAGACCTGTCATTCATGTTACTCCCTTTCCAGGTTCTTCCCGGGCCGCCTCTTCTCTAGTCTCCTCCTCCTACCATTGTTTCCCTTTTGCCCGTTTGCTGCGGTTCCAAAGAGTCTTTTTTTTTTTTTTTTTTTTGAGTATTTAGAAGTTGCATGAGAACCGTCAATATTTGCGCTTCGTTTATTTATTTTGCAACAGGCTGAGCTGAAACCTTGGTTCAATCGATGCCCCAGCCCTGGAGTGCAGGTTTAGGGAGGCAGAGCCGGTGTTGAAATCGCTCTTTGCCTTACTAGAGGATTGTGTTGTCTGAGGCAAAGTTCGTTATGGAAGGCTATAAATGCTGTTAGCTGTGCCCATCATTGGTGGTGAAGAGGGAGGTGGATAGGTGTAGGGAAAGCTCCCCTTCTTTGGCGTCACTCTGGGTTGGTTTGGGCAGGACAGGGGACTGGAGTCTCATTTATATACATCCCAGCTTAGTCTCTTCATCTGATGAGACCTACTTCAAAAGGTTTGTAAATGAAAAGTGATTGTAAATTTTCTGGAAATATTAGTTTTTTCCCTTGTTCCTATGAAGTCTTCAATGATAAGAGCTAAGAAATAACTGTGTAATGACAGTTTTTATTTTTGTCAGGCTTGAGAACAAGCACACAGATGCTTGGGTGTGAATTTTCTTATTTTGTCAGAGGTTTTTCTGATTATTGACCTTTTGTCTGCTTGAAGATAATCATCTCTGGAACTTGAGGCATACCTGCCCACACTGTTTACCAAGCAGGGAGGACTTCAACTCACTTTATTGCAGTAGCTACTTCACATATTTTGGCAGGGATTTAAAAACCGAAGATTTTAAAAGGGACCAACAATTGTAGAAGTAACTTTACAAGTACAGTTTTCAAACCTAGAGACTGTTTGAGTTGGCAGAGATGGGACAGGCCTATGTCTGACGCTGAAAATTGTGCAAAGGCCAGATTTTAATGGAGTCCAAAGGAGCAAACTGGTGCGGGGAAGTAGGAGTGAACAGATGAGCAGGAGGAGAAATCAGTCTTCTGGGTAGATCAGAGGTTTTGACAGATTTTTCATTCTTGGCATCTGACCAGGTATGCACCAAGAAAAAGAATAGTAGCTGAATGGAGACCCTGTCCTGTTCACCTGACCCCTTTTCTCTATAAAATGCAAGGACAAAGTTTTTGCATGTTTACCTAGATAGTTTATGGCTTTTCCAAATTGGTCTGTGTTTTTACTTGAAGTGCAAATATGTGAGGCAGATGTTAAAACAAGTGACATAATGTTTACATTAAGTTGCCTGTTTTGTTTTTGTAGCCTTAAATTGGAATGTGAGAAACTGGCGAGTGAAAAGACAGAAATGCAGAGGCACTATGTGATGGTAGGTATCAGAGATTAGACTTTTCTCCTTTTCATGTAAGATTAGCAAATATGTGTTCCGTTCCTAGCATTGCAAAACATGAGTTAATGAAATGCTTGTTTTTTTTTTTCTTTTTGCAGTATTATGAAATGTCATATGGATTAAACATAGAAATGCATAAACAGGTAAGCTTTAGTTAAATCTCTAGTTGAAATGAGAGAAATCAGTCATGATTCCATAAAACTGGCTTTGTCCTCAGTGGTGGGGGGATTTGTATGCTGTTTTCTTGCCTTGGTTTCCCTTCCTGTGAGTTGGTGGTAGTATTTTGCAGAAGGGTTGCTTCTTGACAGTTACAAATCTTTAAATGACTAGGTGAGAGGTGCTTTGGAAATGTGAACCAGCCTGTTTCTAGGCTGATAGAAATTGAGTCTCTGAGTTGACTTTTCCACCTGGGTAGATTTATTCTCCTCTTGAAAGACCTGGGTATCCTGTAGAGTTCTGAAATTCAGAATAGCTTGTTTTTTTGCTGGTTTGGACAGCAGTGTGGTCTTATATTCAGGAGTTCCTTAAGCAGGTTAAACATCGTATACGACTGAGGTTCTCTTCATGCTTCAGGGTTGCATAAAGTGACACTCAAGATTAGTGGCTTATTAGCAAACATCTTTTTGGAAAATTTCTCAATTGATGCAGATTTGGAGGTGAAAAAGCATTCTTTTATGGCCACAGCATATGTTGGGAGTCGCTTCAGTCCTAGTGGTTTTAAAAGCATGAAAAGATTAGTGACTGGAAAGCTCTAGCTATGACTATGAGTTTGCAAGTTCCCATAAAATTCACACTTATGGCTACTATAATGGTGTATAAAAAGAGTATTGAGCTGGAACAAGGCACTAAGGACCTCATAAGAGAAGAAAAGCTAAATGATTGCTCAGCCCAAAGGACCCTCGATTGAGTAGTCATTGTCTGCCAAAGAAAGCATTAATGGCAGGGTGTAAGTATTCTGGAGATATGCTGACATTCACTTTTTCATCAAGACGCTGGTACAATAAGTCTTTTAGAAATCGATTGCCTCTTAAAAAATTATCATCAGATGAAGTTGCACAGTTGGACACATTTCAAAGTGCAACAATACAATTCTTACTTGATGTATATGTGCTATTTCATCTCAAACCCTTGTTTCATTAAATTAAAGAGCATGGCTGACCGGCTGGGGCACAGTGGAAAAATTGATTAGTTCAGCCTTCAGATCTTCCTTATATTCAAAGACTTTCATTAAGCAAGTGTGTTTCAGAGTTGAATTCTGCTTTTGTAACTCCACACTCTTTGATTTTTAATTCATCATAGATTTCATAATGTTAAGTCGTGTACACTAGGTCTGTTCTCAGATATGTGTTTGGAAAGGGATAGTTAGGTTCAAGGCCTTTCATTAATAATATAATTGGGCCTTTAAAAATGCTGATTTTATCCTGATTTGCAAAATTGGTAGCCTAGATTACATTGGGCTTGTGCCTTTGTTTTTTGTGTTTCAATGGCTTGTGCCTGATTGAGGCAGTTGTAACTTGTTGATAGTAATTGGGCCAGAAGATCTATGGTCATTTAAATGAATTATGCAAATAAACTGGGTGAAGGAGTTGTAATCTGCCACTTTGTTTTTTCTTTTAAGTTACCCCAAAGGCACATTTTTTTGCTAACAAAAATTCTAGAAGGGTAAGAGAAGAGTGAGCTTTTTCTTAAATTCATAAACTCAAGAGGATTTAATAACTTCACCAACTCTTTTACAAGGAAACACCACCTCTGTGTGATGCTGTATGCTGGTATAGGATTTATTGGGGGGGGTAAAGGAGGTGTGTAATTCTTCTGGGTTCCTGTAGGTTACATGGTTACATGACCTCTTCTTTATCGAGTAGGAAAAAGGAAGAAGGGGCGAGGAGGGTCAGGAGCCCCATGGTGTGAAAATAGGTTTCTAATGAGTTTTTATACACTATTGGGCATTTGTGGGTAATATTGTCCATCCATGAGCCAGTATGCATTAATAATATGCTGTGTATAATTGGCTCAGTAATTTGACAAATGTGAAAAGCTGAGAGATGCCATGTTCTTCATAGTAGGGTATTGAGACCCCTGAAATTTAGTTTATACTGTAAATGCTGACAGACCCTTAACTAGAGTGGTGTGCAAAGCAGTGCTGTAATTCAGTTTAAAGTGGCCTTACATTTGAAAAACATCCTTCTGAATGTCACACATTAATAATAAGTTCTGAGGAGGCATTTGGTGCAGCTAGTAATCATAATTCTTATTAAAACTGGTGACGTCTGGCCCCCAGGGTGTAGCCAGGCTCAAATTGATGCTTTTTGCCGCCTGATCACCAGCATGGCCTAAGTGCTCATTATATTGTAGAGAGGGCCTTTGGAGCTCTCATTAGATTTGACAGGAATTCTCTCTGGGGGGAAACTGGGCATTAGCGAGACTCCTGACAGGCTGAAATTAGTCCTGCTTTATGGCTTATAACCAAATGCTAGCAAGGCATCATCAGGGGACACAAAAAATTGTCATTTCTGACAACATCTTTGTTACTGAAAAAAAAATGCAGCAATGGGGAAACTTTCCACGGAGAGAGCTTTAATGTTGTTAAGATTTGTCTGCAGTGTGACCGCTCCCTCTCCCCACCTTTCAGCGGGTTTGTCAAAGGAGTGAGTTTTAGAGATTTCAGTGTCAAATCTCACCACCGACTTTTCCGTCTGGAAGTTTTAAAGTGGAAGCGCGTCCAAATCGAGAATGGTATAATTGTGGTTTCCTTACTTGGTTTGGTGCCCACAGTCCATGTTTATGTTGTGTCAACACTTCCTGATAAGCCTTCCCCTCACTTTCTCTGCTCCCATATGTGCTGGTTACTGAAAAGTCAGTGCTCTAGGGATGGTAATGGGTACTTAATTTTTTTTACTGTAACATTAAGACAGGTTTTTTGGGGGGAGGGTTTGTTTGTTTTGTTTTGTTTTGTTTTTGAGGGGCGCCTGGGTGGCTCAGGGTTAAGCACCCGACTCTTGATTTTGGCTCATGCCGTGGTATCAGAATCCTGGGATTGGGCTCCTTGCTCAGTGGGGAGTCTTATTTGAGATTCTCTCTCCCTCTCCCTGTGCCCCTCCCCCGCACACTCATACTCTCTCTCAAAATAAATAAATAAAATCTTAAAATAAGACAGTTCTTTTTTGTTTGTTTTTGTTTTTGTTTGAGTCTTTTGTAGATCTCTGCCTGTCCATCTCTCTCCAGGTAGATTGTAAATTCTAGGTATATCTACGTGGGAGAGGTAGAGACATCTCATGACCCGTCATGATGCCACCAGAGGGTTAGGGTGCGTTACAGAACAGCAGATGAACGTGAGTCTGATTGTTTTGAGGGCTGTGCCTGGTGTGTTTGGCAGTGTGATCTTTCAAGTTTTGTTTTCTGTCATGTGGTGTGGTGTGACCTCATTTGATTTTTTTGGAACAAGATGCACTGTAAATACATACATAGCCTTATTTATTCCACTTGTGTATCTCTTCAGGATGCTGATGAAGCCATGCCATAAGTTGTCTTTAGTGACATGAATTTGTACAGCACTTAACAGTTTTCAGAAGTGATTTGCCTCATCCTGTGAGGTAGATTGGGTAGGTGTTTTGCTCTGCCTGCGGCTATGGGCATGTGTTCAGCGTCCGGATTTGTCAAGGCCAAGTTTCTGCTGAAGCTGGAGTTTGGGTCACCTGGTCCCTAGAATTCAGTGCTGCTTTACTTTATCCAGCCCCCTGCCATTGGAGGATGAGGCCAGTGGTGGAATCACCTTTGGGCCTGTCTGTGGTGACCCCGTCGGCCTGGCTGCAGGTCTCTCCTGCTCTCTCTCTTTGTGCTGACAACTTCATGATACACAATCATGTCGGGGCTAGATGCATGTTCTAAGAATTCATGAAAATCAGCAGTACTGACTGGCCTGTGGAGGTCACAGCCATGGGTAGGTAGAAAGTCGTAGCCAACTGAGCACTGCTACTGCAGGTTAAAATATGTCTAAGAACAAAAGAAATTGGAAACTGTTGTCAGGACTCCTGGTTGAGGCCCAGGGCACAGTGAGTGTGATCAGTCACTTTGTCTCTCTGTGCCTCTCTTCTGAAGAGCGGGCAGAGTGAGCACTCAGTGCTCTCCAGGGCGGCCAAGAATTTAAAAATAAATGAAAGGACTAGCTCTGGAAGGAAAGACATACTCTGCAGTGCTGGTTGTGGGGTGGGGAAGGAGACGAGAAAGAGAAACAGATGAGAGCTTAACATAACCAAGTGCCATGTGATGTTTCAGCCAGCACCCTGTCTCAGACCACGTAAATTTCAGAGTGAAGCCACTTTCACAGTTTTGATGTGTGCTTTAAAGTTTTCCTTAAAAAATAAATTGTCCTCTGGTAGTGTTTTTAAAGTGCTTAGGTGGAACTGTTAGGGGTTCACCTGCAGGTTAATCCCTTAGATGTGACTCTTACTATTTGTCTGCAAGTCTTACCTTTCTTCCTGCTTTTTAACCACGTGTGTTTTCCATCTGCAGTTTCTCACTTTGAGATTTTTTTTTTTCCCCAAGTCCAAGTCTCAGAATGGGAAAAGACTAGTGGAGTACTTGCACTTAAGAGTTAAGCTCCACCAGGTGTTAATTACCTTGTAATACAAATGGACTAGCTGTCATCAAGATTGGAGTGGTCCCCAACTTCACATCATTAGCCAGGCCTGCCCTTCACAAGCTTCAGTGAAAAGAGATAAAGCTCCCTGTGTATTAAGAACCCAGATTTTGGGGGCGCCTGGGTGGCTCAGTTGGTTAAGCGACTGCCTTCGGCTCAGGTCATGATCCTGGAGTCCCGGGATCGAGTCCGCATCGGGCTCCCTGCTC